AATGTTCTGGGATAACATTAGGGTATTTTGAAGAACATTTCGTTTCTTATAACATGAATGTCCACTTTAGAAGAAATTGAACATTAAATTAATACAATGTGAAATTTGTGCAGAACCACATCTTCACTGACTCGAAGAATGTTTGCATGTTGTCCTCTGAGTAGTCTCCAAACGGTTTATATTTAAATGATGGACTGACACAAGGAAGGTTCGTACGAGTCAAGATATTACTATCGCCTCTCTAGACCTTAGCAAACAAATGGAGTAATGCAATTTATTCTGGCCTATGTTTAGCTATAACAGGTTTTTTGAAGAAACGAAAATCTTTGTTTAGGTATGCCAATATATTGCACTTTGAATGAGCATGAATGGACCAAAGTAGAAGTCATCGTTCCTCACAGTCATTATTACTACCAGTTAAAGCAATCGTTTTGCTTTTAAAAATAAATTCCTTGTAACCCTGCTTTCTTTTAAGCCGTATAGGCTTAGATTTTGCACTTGAGCCTCTCTGTTTTTCTTTTCCAACACCCACAGATTCATATCTCATTGTTCATGTTACACAAATAGCATGTCAGCTGCTTCTCGGCAGTTATTTGATAAAGTGCATCAAGCAACGTAAACATTTTTGTGGTTTTTGCTTTAATTCTTGCTTCACTGGTGGCAATATATGTGAGCAGAAAGGTTGGACCTATGGCTCGCTTGCGTGGGATGATTGTGGTCCAATCAATAGTGAATGAGGGGACCACTGGTAGTTTTCAGCTACAATATCACAAAACTATTTAAGGCGCCTTATTCCAAATCTACATTCTCCATTTCATTGAGATTGAAATAATGTTTGGAAGCAATCTCGTCATGATGAGCTATGTTATTCTCTTCTCCCTGTTGCCCTGTGTGCTGACCAAAGGTCCGTCAAATGCAGAGCGTGAAGTAATTCTGGAATGTCACAGAAAGCTACGTGAAGGCGTGCAACCATCAGCTAGCAACATGGAGTTACTGGTTCGTTAAGAGTTGACTTTCATTTGACGCACAATGTCTGTGCGCAAAATGCAGATAATTATAATTTTTGTGGTGAAAACTGCCTGATTTTCGAGCCGCACAACTGCCCCGTGCGATAGAAGACAGGAAAATGCCAGCGTTATTTTTGGTGCCAGTGCATCAATGTTTTGTCCTTCGTTCTAATACAGACGTACTCAACCGAATTGGAGCAGCTGGCTGATGCATTTGTGAGGAGATGCAATCCTTGGTTTCCGAGTTCAAAGTCACAATACAAAGATGTGGGTTACATTCAACCAACCTCGAGCGATCAAAAGCTCGACTACCGCGATGTATTGTGCAATGTCGACAGTACTAGTTACACGTATGAGAACGACAGTTGTCATGATAGTTGCTATGTGTACAAGCAGGTAAGTGAGGATTTTGTGTAACCTAATGAAATGTTTAACCCTGTACATGTTAAGTAATGGCAAGCAAATGAGAACATCATCATGACTTTAAATACCAGCGAATCATGTCTTCACTTTAAAGGCAGTTACTGCAAATGTGTCTAGTAATGAATTTATGAACAACTCGGCAAATGCATAACCTGACTTTCAGGTTATTGAGGATGACGTTTAAGCGTCTATGTTAGATAGCGAGGTGCAATTTTGAAGTCAGTGTCTAGTGACCAATAACGTATTTTATTTATTGGTAGAAATGAGTCCATAAACATGTAATGCTAAACATACCTGCAACCAAGCATTAACGACCACAACATAAATACCATACCAGGGCACTTTGTTTTAATTAACTGAATGCAAAAACGGTGAGTTTTTATTTGTTTGAAGATGGTTTGGGCAACGTCAACACAAGTCGGATGTGCGACTCATCAATGTCAAAGTGACGATCGACCTCCACAACCAGTTCATGTACTGGCATGCGTCTACAAGCCCAGGTATGTTGAATTCGGACAGGTTGAATGTAATCGCGTGGCATTAATAATCGTTGCTTACATTGATCCGCAGTGACTCGTTGCTTAGAGGTAGACCCTACGAAGAAGGGCCCAGTTGCAGTAAGTGCCCACAGGGTTATGGATGCTACCAAAAGCAATGCGATTCGAAAACGCCACCTCAAACTACCGCACTTATACCTAAAGCTGAAATCACAACTACTGCACCTCACATCAAAATGAAGGCAGTTATAACAGAAGAAGCAATATTACCTCGTGACAGAATTACGACAACTTTACCTCAAACCGAACAAAGAACAACCTCTGAGGCACCAGTGATTTTAGTTTCCTCAACTTATCTTTTTTCTGTGCTTACAATCCATCACCTGCCTTGGCACCTCATACCTACTTTTCTATAGCTATCATCAGATTAAACTTCAGTCATCTTTATTTGCTTTGTTTTATTCTTTATTACTTGCGTGTTTTTGGATCCGAAATAAATCACAGTGAAAAATTGTTTAGCAATGGGGGAGCTAAATGTCAATCGTGTGATAAATATGCACTTACGCTTGAGGATACATATCTTTTTATGTGATTTGATTTTTATGTAGGACCCAAAAATGATACATGATGTGAAAATCGAAAGATAGTTTTAAAAAAAGCCGCCGAGTTTCTTATATCCATTTACCACTTGAATGACAGTGTGCTGTTTTGCACGCTTGCTAAGACCTGAAAAATTAATTTAGCAAACTCCTCATTGTGTGTAGTTTTAACATATACAGTAATGGACGCATTATCCAAATATCACAATACCCAACCCCAATACTCCTTACAGAAAATAATGTGACATCCATTTCATCTGTTTAGCAACACTTGCAAGTTCATTAGTTTACTCAAAAAATTAAAACAAATTTAACTGCATTTCGTGTGAACACCAACGTGCATCAAGTCAGGTTTCCTTCGAGTAGACAAAAGGAAGTACGCTAAACGTTCGCCTGCAATGATACTAAGGCTCATTCTGCATGAATTTTGCATCACAGGTTGGTACATGGTTGTTACCCGTTCGTCTAAGCCCATTCATAGTGGACACTTATGTTATTGGTAAAAAATACAATCCTGTAACAGGTTCGTGATGCACCCGATGACGAAGGGTTTGCATGCTATAATTTCTAGCGATTCGAACAGCAAAAACAACCCACACCGGCTACACATAACGACTAACGCTTTGAAATGTGCCTTTTTTGCATTATTCAAGGTAAAATGTCACTGCAGAAACATCTGAGTATTGTTCACATATGCTTCAGCAATCCTTGCAAATGTCATGCATTATTTTTATAAATAAACATTAATAATGGTTTTCTACTCAGCACCTGTGACTGTTTGCTACTACCATTAGGTAAATGCTTTCCGTTTTCAGCGCGTAAGACTGCGTAACGTGTTGTTCATTACATGCTACAAAATTATTATTATTATTATTTCGTAACTTAGACTTTTATTAATACCCAAGGTGGCCTTAGCGACAAGAGTATCCTAACAATGACACTGTTACAAAATGCAGCATATAGATACTAAGTAATCACCATAATCGCCAACAGGACCAGTGTTGCGAAAATCAACCTTGAAAACATGCATTGCGTTCATACTGCTACCTTGTTGAGCTAGTTGCAGATTAAGAATACATTTTACATCGTAGTGGTGTACGGATAAGCCCTAAATGCTGCTGTGATTTTTAAGCAATTATTTTCAATTAAAATGAGCAAATTCGATTTGGTATAAGGTATCAAAATTTACGATTTATAAACTGCAGGCCCAATGATCGTTCTTCCGAATTCCACTGTGGCTTTGGCGATTTTGTCATGCACTTTCGTCGATGCTAATTCAACTACTACTATCCCTAGGGTAGCATCTGTAATTAAATCCTTAAAATACTGGTTGAGTATGGATTGAACTTACTAACACGGTAGCCACCAAAAAATCTTGGTTAATGTGGCACCGACACTGAAACGTGAACTCCATGTAGTGTATTTCGAGGGATTAGTGGTTCTGGGAGACCGCAGTGATGACTACTTCATTATATGCATCTACTTCAATAGATGCATCAACAGGTCAAATTAAACTATGAAATTCACGGTTGGACGCCATTACAAGCTAATTTATGTTTAGTTAGATATGCTCGTATCCACAAAATTTAGAATGCGGAATCTATTCCGCCACCTTTGCATAGAAAGCCGAATGTCGCATAACATTTTGACAACAAACACGTGTGGCGATTGTCTGCTTTAAAACATGCACCTTAGCTGATTACTTCAATGTCCCGTATATGCATTACTGCCATTTTAATATATACGCCCGCTTCTGGTTTTCAGTTTCATAAAATAATGCATTCACTGACCAAGAAAGTAAGGTTGCATCTTGCTTTGTTAACTTTGCTTAGAGAAGCAAGTATTAAAAGTCCGTTTATTGTGTTTTAATCCGTCATGCATAGTTTGTGTAGGAATGAACATCTAAAAACGTGTAAAATATGGAAGGTCTTATGAACTAGATTACTTTATCATTCGTTTTCGTCTTCCACTTTCATTACAAATGCCAACAGTTGTCATTGGTCAACGAAACACACAACAATGTGTTTTCTGTTTTTTTTTAATGTTCAAGGAGCCATACATAATAACGATTAAGTGGTCCCATAATGACAAAAGTATCACTTTTTTATGAACAGCATAGGTTTTTCGTATACGCCCATTTTTAAGGCAAAAGGTGATGAACGCAGTTAGCAAACGTGAGAGAACATGACTTTTCGTGAATTCACTGTAGTGAACAGACAGCCACCCGTGTATGCTGGCCCGACTGTACCAATGACCCACCCGTTTTTGTTTTTAGCTCCTGTTAGCAGTCGCGTGTTACGCAAGCGCACTGATAGGGACACAAAGCGACTTGGCTGGAGTAACACTAATAAACGATCGTGTTCTCTGTCGCCTCTTTCCCTTCTCTTCTCGGATTAAAACGGGCCGCTAACTAGAGGGTTGCAAAGTAGTGCTGAATTCGGCCATCAAGAAAGCAAACCTTCGATTACCCTGGAATGGGCCAGCCTAAAACAACACTTATTCTGGCCGAATTCCACTCCGTGTAGGTTCGCCGTTTTGGAAACGGAATTTTCTGGCGCCACAATTGTCAGCCAACATGTTGAACACTGTCACCCTGTCTTTACTTTGAGAAGCGAACTGGCCAACGAGGTTTCGCATGTACCGTTTCACTTTGACAACGACTTTGCTATTGACCAGTTATGGTCAACGATTCCAAAACGTACGCAACTGACCACATCCGAACTCGTTAATCAATTTTTATCCCGCGATGACTTGGGAGACTTGGAGCCTATTCAGATCCTGAGGAAGATGCGTCAACTCTCCTACGACGATCCTTTGGAAGGTGCATTTTTGAAAGGATTTTCTCTCAAACGACCTCCAAGCAATATCAACCCATCCTTGACCCCATGGTTAAAATGTCAACACTAGAATAGCAGGCGGATACAGCAAATTATTATATTAGAAGCAACGAAATCGGCTTACGTCTCCGAAATTTACCCAAGGCCCCAAAGACAATCAAATGCTTTCCTGCTCGCAGGCGCGTACTAAACACCTGTCTCTTTGAAAAACCGCCTAGCCGAGATCAAAGCAGCAATCAACGACTTGCCGCGGGAGGGAAAAGTTGCAACATCTCATTTACGCATTACAGTTTGAAAACGGACCCTGCTTGGCCTTAACCCAGCTCACCGGCAAACCGAGGTCCGGCACAATGTCACGCACAAATTTTAGACAGACGGTTGGCCCGTTAATGCTCAAGTATACCGACTCTCCTCAACCAGATACTCAACAGCTGAACAAGAATTGGGAAACATGTTGCAGCTTGGCATAGTCCGGCGATCAGACAGTGACTGGTCGTCTGCTCTGTACATGGTTTTCAAGACAGTTGTTAGTGAATGGTGGCCATGCGATGATTATCGTGCCTTAAACGCAATAACCAATCCTGATGGCTACCAAATATCAGATCTGCATGATATGTTTCGATTCTACACCGAAAATCCGCTTTTTTCAGGTAGGATCTGATGCAAGCCTATTATCAGATCCCTATCAAACCATCTGATATCCCGAACACAGATTACGAATTGCAGCTCAAGCATTTCAGCATTTCATCCACCAAGTATTGTCTAGTTTAGATTTTGTCTTTTCGTATATGACGATGTTGTGGTTGCTATTGAAGATCAAGACGAGCACCTGAACCTCACGGACATTGTCTTTGGACGCCTTAATGAATTTGCTTTGGTTATTAATTCGTCAAAGTGTGTTTCTGGAGCTACAGAACTTGAGTTTCTAGGGCACATCGTCTCCGCTGGTGGTTTAAAGCCCACCGATATTGAGCTAAAAGAGATTTGAGAACACTCGGAACCGAAGTCTATCAAGCAACTTCGACGTTTCTTAGGCACGATCAATTTCTATCGCCGATTCTTACCCAATGCAGTTAAGAACCTTCTGCCTCAAACCAATCTGCTCAAAGATCGCTCTTCAAATCTAACCATGACTGACGAGGCACGTAAAGCTTTAAAGGGCGCAAAGGAGTCTTTGGTGATGACAACCACATTCGTGTATCAACGATCGGATGCCCCTCTTTCTCTACTAACCGATGTTGCCGTTTTGGTAGTTGAAGCAACCTTACAGTGAACCGTCAACGGGTCAGCTCAGCCACTGGCTAATTTTTTTAGCCAAATACAACAAACCTCAAAAGCGTTACAGCACTTTCGGTCATGATCTTCTTGCTATCTACCCAGCTGTCAAGCACATTAGGTATCATCTTGAGGGTCGGCAATTCACGATATATACCAACCACAAACAGATGATCGTTACAGGCCGCGTTTTGTTAAATGTTAGATTCTGAATAAATTAACAAAATACCAGCGTTTGATAGGTCCGATGGGTAAAGTGGTTAGTTGTGGTACATGGTGGGGGATGAACGTGCTAACAGTCGCACATGACTAACGGGCATGGCGTGGAAGGCACAATGTGTGTCCCAGACTGTGAAGACCAGGTTAATAGACGCAAATCAACACGACTCACTGCAGCAGCTTTGTAGGCAGATAGAACCTAACAGTAACAACATCAAAACATGGTTTTTTGCCTCCGGTCCAGAAAGGTGACTGTCGTAAAAGTTCTAAAAGACTCCAAGCTAAATTCAACCCGTTACCATTATCCAAAATATGGTCCGTTAATAGTTAGGCAGTGAATTTTACGGTTTCAATCTCTGCATTAACCTTTAACTTAAAGTTAACACATATGAGATAAAGTAATCACAAAGAAATCTTTTCATGGATTCCATTTTATTTGCATTTGGCCACACCGCTTCCTGGATTGTCACATGATATTTGGCTGTAAGCATAATTGTTATTACACGCCACGTCAAAATGTGCAGACGGATGAGCTTCTGCCTCGTGTATCCACAGCATATAGAAAAATTAGCGCATTGACGATATTGTCTCAAAAATAAATGTTGCAGGATTCCGTGCAGTTGGAGAATTATGCGAGAATCAAGGACCAACGCTGCCTGACTGAAGAACGAGACGAAATTTACCACCCTTGTAACTCAACTCATTTATGAGTGCAGTAGTTGCGTGATTGCACAGCATAAAATTTTATTCCCGTAGTCCGCTTGCCGTGTTCGCTTGCTGCTAACGCTACTTGAAAATGGGCTTGGCGAAGAAATTTCATGTAAAGCAAATCTTCAAGAATATGCTGACAGTTTTGTACGGCAGAAATGCGTTAAGAAGGTCAATAATGCAACCTTTTCTGAGTGTTTGACTGTAGGATTATCAAACCGTGGTTTTTGCGTTAAATGGATAAGTGAAGGATATTATATTTATCGTCTAGAGATTAGCCAGCTTCTGGAGACTTGGCGTCATCTAAAGGATAAAACGGTGTCGGCGTTTCGGTGTCTTTCAGCGGTGATGGGGCCAAAAAAGAAATGTGATTGAATTGGGCGCAAGTTACGATACAAATCAGGTGAGCATAAAGGGTAAAATCGAGGTTGATTAGCACGGCATTCGTGAACTGCAGCGAATTTATAGTCGGGTTAATGGTCAAAAATGAGCTACTTCATAGGCCATTTGAAAATGGAAACTTTGGGTTTGTAGAACCTCAAACGTGTTCGTGAGTGGGGTCGTCATTTTTACTAACACCGTCCACAACCAAAAGTGGGTTTTCAGCGGCCACCCGAAATTCACGTTTCCTCTTCACAAGTACCCCCTTAGCGGCAGAAATGGATTCTCCGGCGACCCTGCAGTGTCCACCACGGCTTCGTCCTCCGCTGCTGGTGGCGGCTTGTCAGCCACTAGACTTTCAGATCGTTTGCAGGGCTCTCTGCAAATTCCTTTCTAGCCCACACTAACTTTTCAGGGAGAAGCTATCGAAAACAGGTCAAGTAGTTAATGAAGAACCTGCATGACAATACTGGGGCAAGGCCCGATCGAACGAGGGGAAGAAATGGTGATAACGCGTAGCTTTGCCAAGTTTTTGATGCAGCGACGCGGCTGCACAAGGCAACAAGTCGAGTTTATATATAGGGTCGAATAAGTCTGATCTCCGAACGAATATACATACATTATATTAATGTTTAGAAGAAATTCCTGTGTTGATAGCAATTCCTGTTTATCAAGTACTACCTGCTCTGCTCTTTACGTAATCACGCGGACGAAACCGTCTAAATTACAGGTATTTGAGGTAGATGCAGCCACATTTGGGCTTCAATTAGTAAGAAATCACCCTAGATTTTAGTTTGTACCATGTTTACACTTACGATACAACTGTAAATCGCGTTAAGTCCGTCTTTAGATACTACTGTATCAGTTTTCTTAGCGCAACCTTACAACCCGAGTAGAAAGCCAAGTCAGGAAACAGTGATTACTACCGTTTATTACAATTTTAACTGCCAGGAGTTGCACAGTGTGTAAATGAGTGAGTGAATGACAGGCAACAGATAGCAGTTACCAATGAAATAGGGGTGAGTTATTGACAAATTTTTGTCACTAACTCGGCTTCAATCACTCGTGATTGCTAACAGCCCACGGGTTGATTGACGCTCGTTCATACGTTCTTTCCAATTTCCCACACACTGACCACCTTTCAAAACGTGCTGTGAGCCCAGAGGGAACTCAACTCGCGTTGACTCTTGTTGCTTCATAAATCTGAGCTATAACTACATGATCACAAACACCAGACATGCCACAACGTCACCACCTCGGTTGAGCTCTGAGAGGTAAACGGTTGTGACCAGGTCCATTCAGCAATTCACCATCATTGTGGGTATCAGGCTAGCGACATTATGTCTGTTTTAACCCACTGACTCCAGCGTGGCGTAGGATCACATACCGCAACCCGCAACAAGTCCTTTTAAGCTTCAGAAAACGCAAAACAAGTGACAACAGATAACGGCGGGCCAGCGCGGTGGTTTTGTGTACGGACACACTCGCATGCTTGAGGCAAAGAGCCCTATTCGTCATTACCTGTTCATGAGGCAATTATAACGAAAAGACCCACTATTTACAACACTCACTGCAATGATGATTTATATCCAATTCCACGAATACAGCTACTGACAAATAAACAAATTATGTATTCTTATCGCAGAAACAGTTTCAGTATGTAAAAGATATGATGAAACAATAAACATCAGTGTAGGCCGTTCATAATGACAACGGACGAAAGTAAAATTGGAAACAGCGCCATTGCAGAGGAACCAGAGGTTGTTG